TGTGAAACATGTAGAAGAGAGAATCCGGAGATGTTTCGAATCTTATTCGACTGCCTTACTAATAATACTTATCGATACTTTCACACAGATTGCCCACTTTCTCCACAGTTTGTCGCCGGGAATGTTTGAGGCAACAATGTTGATCCTCACTCCACCCTGATTTAGATATGAGTAAATTCTTTTGCTTCTTCTTTCTCAAGCTCAAACTTAGATTCACTATTATTAATTGGAATGTTAGTTTAATACATAATAGTTAAGGTTCAGCTTATGCAAAAATAAAGCAAACTTTTTTTCTGAACTTATTATACACCATTCCATCGAGTTTTTCGAGCTGATCACGAATTTCAAGTTTTTAATTTTTCGAAGCCTTTTTCTCATGTCGAAAAATCGAGAAAACTAGAACTACCTAAAAGCTCGAAAAAACGATGATGTTCACGAAAATTAGATTTTTCAACTTGAGTTTTTCATCAGTACATTCAAATTATTTTTTTCTTATTCAGCTTTGAAAACTGAATTAAAAACTATTAATAGATGCATTTCGTAGGTAAACGCCTATCCACCAGGACGTAAGAAAGGAGGGAAATAAGGGTAAGTCATTTTGTAAATCTATCTAGTTTTTTGTATTAAGGGCTGAAGCCGTCATTTTTATCTGAGTAGATTTGCTGATAGCCCAGCTTTAAAAATATGCGACGCTTTTTTTGTAATTTTGTATCGTTGTTGAGAACATTCATTTTTTCTAAATAAGAATCGAAAAAGCCGGAATTATCTTCATAAGCCTCAATTTTCTCCAACAGAACTCAACTTCTATGGAATAAAAATATCATATTTGGAATCAGGATTAGAAAACGAGTCAAGTGATCTCTATCCTATCCGAGTACTTTAATTTTTTCGAATGTTCACGTTGAAAAATCATCGAGATTTCCACCAAAAATTTCGAAAGACACATCAGTCCATTCGTTTTCTGATCCTGATTCCAAATATGATAGTTTTATTCCATAGAAGTTCTGTTGGACAAAATTGAGACTTATGAAGATAATTTCGACTTTTTCTATCGGCTCATGTCTAATACCTATTATTTATCACAAGTATAACTGGGTTTTTCCATAGTCACCGTGGGGATTCCGCTGGGTGTAGCACCGAAAACACTTTGTTTTCGCTGTTTTGATTAGAAACTGTTGAGAAAACGGTTTCCTACTTCACATCTGGTGTAGGAAAACTCAGCCCGACACTCTGAACTACAATACCGTTGTTCTCTCAGAGTTTAGTGGAAACTGCAAGGACAAAAAAGCGGAATGGGCCATTGCAGCTAATTCCGTACCATTCCCAAACCATTTTTGACAATTTTTTCATTTTTGACAGACTTATATACTATCGAGTGTGTATTTTGAGAAACAATGTGTTTGTACACATAATTTATCTGTGCAAGAGCTGGCTGCTTCAATGAGCGTCTTTCCAACACAAGAAAAATTGGGATATAGTCTACTGAAATGAAGATTTCAGGCTCAATCTCAGAGCCTGGAGGTTTTCAGACATGCTGATTCCAGTGGCAATAGCAATCTGCTTTGATTTTTACTTTCATAATGGACTTCTGGAAAACTAGGCATTTGAGCAGAGGGCTTTCGGAAATATTGCAATTAACTCAACAGAACAATCGTGTTCCCAAAGCAGAACAGTCATGTTCTTTTGTTGAAAATATTTCTCTGATAACCGAGGAATTGTGTTCTATTCTGTGAGTTCTTTTCCCACAGACAGAACCTTCTTGTTCTGCTTGTGGGAGCAGAGATTTCTAGGACAGTTCAGTTCAATAAAGTTTCCTTAAGCCCACGGCCCTCCACGGACTGTCGGAATGCACTTTTCCCCCTTGACATAAGTCCGTCGGAAATGAAAAATCGAAAAAATTGTCAAAAAACGCTCTCTGAAGGAAGCAGCGGACAAGGACCTTAAGAATACCTACAAAAAAATAGAAATTCTCACTCAGCATCAGTGTGGTCCACTCCGGCCCATTCTGGTCCATTGCAGTCCATTTCAGCCCAGTCTAACATTCCAAAAACGCTTTTTCCCCCTTGGAAAACTGGCTCCGCTTACAATCAGCCAAATTAGAATCAGCCAAATAAATTTGATCAGCCTCTTATTTTTACAGACAAAGGTTTATTGCCTTCGGCGTTACTCTTTTTTTAAACAAAATAGTTACATTCTAAGAAATACTGTGTCGGAGATATCTAATCAATTCTTATATTACACTGTATACTTTAAAACCAGAACTTAACTTTATTCATTTGTATTAGCGTACTTTTAGGTACTATATCGACATATTATTTGACACATACGGAATTTACATACAGAAGGACTCGATATTTAAACTAAAATTTGCAACTAAAAGAGAATGAAAAAAAAATTAATTGAAAAGAGAACGATTTCTAATCAGCATGCATGTAACTAGAAGAGAGGATGCAGAGCGGGTTTAGTAATTAGCTCGGAACCCGTAACTCATATCACCCTCGCCTCTTCGTCTTAACGATCACACTACCGTGTAAAATCCGTTTTATTATATCTTAAAATTCGATACTAGATAATATTGCACTAAAAGTTTGAGCTGCGGTTCAGTTTGACACACAGCTTCACATAGCATATCCACCGTCTACGTGACATTTTCTACACTTTATAAAGTGACGCTAATTGATTGTCTTCTATGTGAGGATTGCTATATACTTTTAAACCAGGTGTCATACTTTACAATTATCCTGTACTCATTAATTAAGCGCCAGCAGATATTTTTGCTGATTTATTTAAAAGAATATGTTACTCTGATAACAATCTACGTGCTCGAAAACCAACGATTTGATGCTTAACAGCCTTAAAGCACATGCGTAATAAAAAAATGACGGTGACACCTTTCTTATTTAATTTTGTTTTCTAACGTAACAGTATAAAGCAATCATGTCTTTCATATTTTTAATGTGTGTTGGCAACAAGAAAAAGATTTTATTCTATTCTCATGTTGTCACTGAAATTATAGAAAATAAAGTTTTATACTTCAAACATCCTACTTGGGGCTGTTGTATTTTTCTTTTCCTTGTAATAATAAGATCATTTTTTGTTTTACTTCGCTTCTGCGTTTTTAAAAAATAAGAAATACAGAGAAAAAACATGGAAAGTAGATGACTTTGATTTCTCAACATATCTCTGTCAAAAGTTTAAAAAATGTATGCCTGTTTGTCAGAAGGTTGAACTTCTTCATAGTGGTTTTCGCACATTATATTTAAGGCATGAGGTTTTGGGTGAAGAAAATTTCATTAGGTTGACTAAGTTCTCTCTGTATTTTATTTGTCAAATGTGGTTCGACTCTTTGTGCATAGCCAACAGGTGGGCAGTAATATATTGGAAAAAGTTAGTTTTTCTGAAAAATTTTCTCAGAGAAAGACTCGTGTACCTCTTATAATTAATAAACTTTGTTGAATACTTTTATCTAACATTTGTTGTTGCTGATAATAAATAGGCATGCAGCAGTTTCTTAACAGTTTTCTGTTGTGTTATTCAAAAAATGGTTTGCAATTTTGTAAAATCACCAGGTTTGTAGAGCAAATATTTCTCTACAAGATGGCATGTAGTAGATATTTTTAAAGTTGCTTAGTTTCTTTAAAAAGTATCTTTGATACAATAATCCAGCAGTTTTAACTGCTGGGTCATTATATATGCCATCTTGTAGAGAAATATTTGCTCTACAAAACTGCTGATTTCAGAAAATTTTACAATACGCTGTGGCGAAAATACAAACCATTTTTTGAAAAATACGAGAAAAAAACTATTGCTGCCTAATAATGAACGGTCGAAGCCAATCTCCAATAGACACCTAGCTAAGAGACTGGACTTTCTGAATTGTTTTTCTTACCCTTGTCTTACGCTCTCGAAAAAGGAAAGTCTACTGTTCTTTCTGACGTATGCTTTATATTTTACACACATATTCTTCGTTCCATATTCAGTGAACACTGAATATGGATATACAGTTCAATTCAAAGTGAGTCATATGGTACACGCGCCACAAATGGGAGAGTGGCTTAAGGAATCATCTAGAAGTATTTTCCGCTAAAAGGTTTCGAGCAACTATTTGTAGCTTTCGACTCAAATTTGTTTGGGTTACAGAATGATATACAAATTTTACCGCCTTCATAGAGTCGATCTAGTCCCTGAAAGGCAACTGACTCGAAAAAATCACTCAAACGTTTGGAAAAGCTCGGGTAAGTTGCTAGGCCGAATCTTTGAAGGTGGTAAAATATATTTCGATGTATCATTTATAGCCCAAACCAATCTGAATCGAATGCTACTAATAGTAGCTCGAAATGTTTTAGCGGTAAAAAACTTCTAGATGATTCTTTAAGTGACTCTTCCATTTGTGGCGCATACAATTCACTTCACTGGATGTGGAACGAAGATTATGTGCGTAAAGTATAAAGCATACGCCAGAAAGAACAGTAGACTTTCGTTTTTCAGAGATGATTTAATGATCATACACTTTCTTTTCTTTTGTTTGATTTCGATAAGAATAGTATGAGTATTTTATTCATCCGGTACTGATTACGAAAGAGAAATTGAAGTTAAGGAGATCACATATTGTTTATTAATTGTAATAAAAATAATTCTTCCATTTTTGTCATAAAAAAGCTTAAACTGCTCTTGTGAACTGTGTTTTGTTTGCTAAAAGTAACGCGAAACTTTTTTGTTTTGCGTTTTTGTAAAAACGGCAGCACGTGATTAGAGCCATTAACTAAAAAAAAGAAAAGAAAATTCATTGTTTGCCAAGAAAAAAGAGGAATGAAAATAAGGTGAATATAAAACGGGGCTGAAAAATAAAAAAAAGCTGCAGCAACTCTCGACTACATAAATCACATTAAATTCAAAGAAGAATTATAGTCTATGCGGTATATTTTATGAATATAAAATTAATACACAAAAAAATCTTAAATTTGATGATTTCGTTTTGATAAGATTCTTTTTTTTAAGCAATGGATAACAGTCCAGAAATACTGATAAATACGTTTAATTCTACATGTGATGTGTCATCAACAACAGCCAACACCGTACCGACAAATAATGAAAGTATTACATTAATATGGTTTGATAAAAATATTGATAACAAAGACGACACATTCATTACACGCGCAATGCTTCGTGAAATAAATGATTTTGTGCTTTTCTTTAATGAAAAAGATAAATGTCTCGAATATATTCAATCAATAATGAATGAAAAAATATTTCTCGTTATTTCGGGTTCGTGTGCTGTTGACTTTTTACCTATTGTACATAATTTTCGACAAATTGATTCAATTTTTATATTTTGTATGAAACGTGAAAAATATGAGATACTTCTAACAAAATATACAAAAATAATTGATATATTTATTCAACAAGAAACTCTTGCTAATAGTATTAAAGAAAATATTTTATTAGTGGAAAAACATATGGAAACATTCAACTCATTTGATCCAAAATTACAAAAATCTACACGTGAATTAACTAAAGAACAAGCATCATTTATTTGGTATCAATTATTTAAAGATATTGTAATTCAAATGCCACAAGATGAACAATCAAAACAAGATATGATTCAAAACTGTCGACACTATTATCGGGGAAATACAACACAAGAAAAATTCATTAATGAATTTGAACAAACATATGCGAAAACCGATTCTATTAAATGGTACACAAAATCATCGTTTGTATATAAATTGATTAATAAAGCTTTAAGAACAGAAGACATTGAACAACTGTACATATTTCGTTTTTATATAGCCGATTTGAGTACAAATCTAGCTAAAATTCAAATAAAACAGACAAATATTCAACTGTATCGTGGCGTTAAACTAGAGAATGATGAATTTAATAAAATCAAAAGTAATATTGGAAAGTTAATAGGAACAAATGGATATTTATCAACAAGTCGTTCACGTAATTTAGCAATGACTTTTGCTACAAAACCGACAAGACGAGACAATGTTACACCAGTTCTATTTGAAATAACATTGAATTCGCAAATAAATCTAACTGTTGTTGCTGACATTGCCTCATATAGTGAGTTCCCACTTGAACAAGAAGTGCTATTTGATTTAGGTGCCGCGTTTCAGATCGATGCGGTTATATTTGATAATTTGACCGAAGTGTGGCTAATTAAAATGACAATAACTGACGGTGGAACTAAAATAGCTAAAGACTATGTTGAAAAAAATAAAGTAGATATTAAAGATGAGAAAAGTTTTCTTGTTCTATTTGGTATTTTGTTGGAGAATATGGGTGATTATTCAAGATCAATAAAATATTTTAAAAATTTGTTAATTAACAATAATTATGACGAGCAAGACTGTCCGTCGATTTATTACCATTTGGGCTGTGCTTATTGTTTCAGAGGTGAATACGAAGAAGCTTTAGCAAACTATAAAAAAGCTTATGATCTTATGATGATATCAACACCGTCACTAATTTATGATGCCGCACGAACATTGAACGATATCGGCATTGTTTATGATAACATGAAAGATTATGATCAAGCAATCCATTATCATTTAGAAGCATTAAAATATCGAGAATTGTCACTTCGGCATAAACGTTCTATGGTAGAAAGTTTAAATAATCTTGGTAATGCATACCACAATAAAGGTTCACTGGACATAGCTCTGAAATATTATTTAAAAGGATTGAAATTGTCTGAGGCTACATCGAATCGGTTGATGATAGCTGATTGTTTTAATAACATTGGTCGGATTCACTGTAAAAAACACGAATTTAAACATGCGCTATACTATCATTTAAAAGCATTCAATATCATCCCAACTTATAGTGTAAATACCGCTAATAATTTTACATTCATTGGTGATGTTTATAGTGAACAAAAATTGTACGATCGTGCTCTCATCTGTTATAGAAAAGCATTCAAAATACGCAAACGATTGTTTCTTGTTGATCATCCTGAAACAGCTAAAAGTTTGTGTCAGATTGGTGGCATACATGAGAAAACGAGAGATTATGACTGTGCCCTTACGTGTTATACAGAGTCACTTAAAATCTACGAACGATCCTATCCTAATTATCCTGATGTACCAATTATACAACATAACATCAGTGTTATAAAGCAAATGTCGCCAACGGATTTAGCAAACCCGACTGACGTAGACAACATCTTACTAAAAAGCCTAAGGTTATTATGTGGCCGTTTTGAAGATGTTTAATATTAAAAGATCTATCTCAAACTTTATGATTATCTTTAATTAAACAAAAAATTTGAGATGATCTTACTACTGTTTGCATTTGTACATAATGTGCTTTATGTTTGGTAAGAAGAAAATCGAGTGACAACTACCGTTCAACCGCAGAAAACGTTAATTGAGCTAGTCCTATATTTGCAAAAGCTTTGAGTACTGTTCTACCAATTCTCTTTTTTCTTTTTATTAAGGTGCAGGCAATTCAAACTTCGAGTAAAAAGTTTTTTTTCGCCTTTTTTCTACACCATTGATAGAGCGTGAGCTGCTGATCACGAAAATCTACTTTTTAGTCATAGTAAATACTTCCTTCCGGTCAAAAATACGAAATACTCGAGAGATGTAGTTTTTTGAGAAAAACACATCTTTTTCGAAATGTGCAAAATTTTCTACTTTATTTTTTTTTCTAGCATCTGAAACTAATTTTTTCAGATTCAGCATCAAAAACTGAGTACCGAGACGTTGCTAAAATGATCCTAGACCCAAAGCTCTACTGGTGGTGGCGCTTCGAATCGCGTCGAGTTACGCCTTGACTACCGCCTAAAATGACTATAATACCAGTAAAAGCCATTTTTCTCAAACACAGAAAAGAAAAGAAAAGAAAAGGATACGTAACTTTGTAACTGGCGGTATGATGAGTCAAATGAGATAAAATATTTACCTTTATCACTTATGTAGAAAAAACTAGATAGGTTTACAAAATCGACCTATACGTGGTGCACTCGACGCGATTCGAAGCGCCACCACCAGTAGGGTTTTGGGTCTAGGGTCATTTTAGTCGCGCAGAACGAAAAACTGTATTTGCGTAGAAACTAGCGCTTTTTATTCTATTCTCCCATTTTTCTCCGTTCCTGATATATTCTTTCTCTTTCTGATTTTTTCATGCTATCAGAATGAACAGACAGAACGAACAACAGAATATTCATGTATAGTCTATACAAAAGTGATTTGAAAAGAGATAATGCTTGAATTTTATCAGCTCGACCTGACGAATCTACTCAGGGGAAAATATTTGCTCTGTGTCGTTTCTAAAAAGACTTGAAGATTTTTGCGCGAAAACTTACGGGTTTTTTGGTCATTGAAATAGACGTCGTGTTTTCGACGTATTGACACGTGCTATACTCTCAAAAAATACGTTTTCGGATCCAGTTTTTCGCGTATATTAGGAAAAATATTTTTAAAGCTATAGGACATGTTTAAAAGAAATTCTAGGGTGATCTTTCAAGAAAAATCATTTTTTTTCGTTCCAACGATTTTTCAAGTTTTTGACGACAAAATTCAACTTTTCCTAAACAAATTATACATATTCGGATTCAGCACAAAAATCTGCATCGAATGATATACAGAAAAAGGAAAAATGTGAAAGTTTTGAATTTTCTTAGCCTTATATAGTGTATTTTTAATACTTACTTTTCATCTTCGTTTTTTGGGCTTCGAATAGTCTAGTTCATCATCAGAAAAATGTGCAAGAGCTATAAGGAGAGATGTTATTTATACACGAAATTTATACATATAAACGAACATATGAAATAGTCTGTCTGACGGTAGTTAAAACAAAAGCAACACACGATCATACTAACAGAGAAGGAAAAGAAATAACAGAATAAAAGTAAATTCCAAAAAGTACTAGAGAATGAGAGATATGGTGATTTCATTTTTATTTTAATTCTTTGACTGACACATCCTGTGACTATATCTCTCATTCTTCTTGAGTCATTTTTAGAATTTACTTTTCATCGTGTGTTCCTTTTGTTTTAACTACCGCCAGACGGACTATTTCATATGTTCGTTTATATGTATAAATTTCGTGTATAAATAACATCTCTCTTTACAGCTTTTTGTACATTTTTCTGATGATGAACTTAGACGGTTCGAAAACTTAAAAATGATGATAAAAAGTGTTAATAATTCTATATAGTGTGTACTGCAAGCTATGTAGAATCGCCTTTAACAAAACAAAAACACCTTGTCTTTTACCGATTTTTCCTCGATTCAAGTCCATCCAAATTTTTTTCGAGTCTAGACTAGTCCATGGTCTTGAAACTTTGAGTCCAGTCCAGTCCAGTCCGAGTCGATAGAATCTAAAAAATTTGAGTCCAGTTCATAAACTGGACTCTGGACTCACTCCAGTCCATACGGAGCTCTGCTATAAACTGACCCGTTTCTCCATGATTTACCACGTATCATAAAAAAATCCTTGTGAACTCGGATGGATCTCAAAAGATTCGCCGTATTTTTCTACTCGGATGTTCAGAGTTTGGCAGAAGGTACCTCTATTGTTTATAGAAAAGGGCGTTCCTTCAACCTAGACGTCGCTGTTGCCAGAGAGGCACACCCTTTTTTCAGAAACGATAGATGTACCCTCTGCCAAACCCTGAATATTCGAGCCGAATCTTTTGAGATCTATCCGAGTTCACAAGAGTATTTTTATGATAAGTGGTAAATCATGGAGGAATTGACCAGTCTTTAGATCAATGGTGAGAAACTGAAGAAGTGTCTTCTTCTGTTTCTCACTTCTGTTTCACACTCTTTAAGAGCATCTGGAAGAGTGTCGCTGCCTTTCACAACGACTGGCATACCCTTGTTTCGTTTCTAGTAGTTTTCAGCTGTGAGTTGTATTTAACCACAGCTTCTGAGAGAAAAGTCTCGAATTTAGTAGCAGACAGAACGGACAAATTTTTATTGGTATGGCAATTGCCCCAATTGCCCCGCTGTCGGCTCGCCACCGTGTATAGAACATTGATTTGTACAGACAGTTACATTTTAGTGTGAACGTTCATACTCTTCAATTCACAAAACAACTCACTATGAATTTAATACACTGTTTATCAACTTGACTGTTTCCTCTATATTTAAGCCGAACTAAATATTTAAGCCATTAGCGCAAAATCGACTTTTTATACGGAGAACAGAATCGGTTCAAATTATTTTTCTAAAGAGCTTATTATATGAATCGACGGTCAGCAAAGTATCTCTCGATTCAAATCACTTTTCGCAATTTGGCGCGAATAGTGGCGCCACTTAAAACGCGCTACTATTCGCGCCAAAATGTGAAAGTGATTTGAATCAAAAGATACTTTGCTGACCGTCGATTCATATAATAAGCTCTTTAGAAAAATAATTTGAACCGATTCTGTTCTACGCATAAAAAGTCGATTTTGCGCCAATGCGAAATAAAAGCAACCTTTTCCGATTTATAGTGAGACACAGACTATTCAACTTGGGCATTACGATAGACTGTTTTTCAAAAAGGGTAGAAAGTCTAACTGTTAAGCTATTTGTTTTGCAGTTTGAGTGTCTGGCTGAACAAAACACAACATCCTTCTGCATATATCATCTGTTGAAGTAAATTAAATGTTGATGATCAATTCATTGTTTGACTATCATGACTTTCCGGCTTCCTCTTCGGGTCACACTAGCAAATCTTCCATTCGACTTCATTATACTTTGTATGCTTTTCTAAAAGATGTTCTCTTTTATGTATGGGAAAAGAGAGATAACGCTACCCCCGGAGAAAGGGTTAAACAAATGAATTTATCTAACACCTAAGAGAAAGGTTTTTTCAGCGACACTGTTTGGAACAGAAAATTTTAATGTGCGTACTTTTCGTGCAATTCGTTGCAGAAAAAAGGTGAAATTTATTGGTTATAACCGGTGCATGCTTAGAAATGAATAAATCGATAAAGAAACTACGGAATGATAGAACGAAGAGTATAAAGCTAAAAACAGTCCAACTAAACTATCATTTAACAAATCAAGATATTTTTTCGTCGAAATGTTCAGTCACCTTATGGTTAAGAAAACTAATATCCAATATGAGTTTACTTAGTACCCTGACAAAGCAAATAAAATCACATAAAGAGTGTCTGGTTCGAGTTTTTATTCTAACTCGAGTTTATTTCTAAAGAAACCTGTTTTACGTCATGCGGCAATTTATTTCAATTCTCCATCTAATCCTCACGGTGGACGATTTTAATTACTGCGTTAGTGTATCAGAATATCGAAGGCATCATCCGGAAATCGCCGTCGCCGCGGATTCTTATATGTTAAAGTGTTAAAGTGTAAAAGGATAAACGTGCATAATTGAGGGTGAAGAAGTGAGGATGAACGTGGAGCACATCTTCACCCACTTCACTCTCACTTCTCCACCCTCACCCTCACTCGCCGCGAGTTCGTATATGTTAAAGTGTTAAAGTGTTAACACTTTAACACTGAATCCGCGGCGACGGCGATTTCCGGATGTTATGATATCGAATAACGAGGTATTATCTTTCTTGCCCATAAGATGAATGAACGTTTCGATGAATATGTAGAATTTGTCCTTTTCTTATGTCGTTCCAACGTATATTCATTTGCGGATTTTCAAAAAGTGTATCACAATTGAGAACATTAAGAGGAGCGATAATTAAAACTGGTGCTTCTGGTGTCTAGAGTTCAGCTGTAGTGTTGGAAACCGTGAAGCTGAATGTGGGAAACCCACTATACATCGTCGGTTCAGTCAGGACAAAATACATAATTGTTCAAAAAAAATATCTCAGTTATTGATGTTACTAGAGCGTTATCACTCTTTTCTAAATCGAAAAAGGTCGCTTTTAGTTCGACTTAAATATTAGATTTTTAGAAACGTGCGTGTCTAATTTTTTTTCTGATTGGCCGTTTTAAGGCAATCGTTCAGACTGATTTCAAGTGTCTCATTTAGATGTTTCGAGCACGGAAAATCAACATTTGCCTGTTTATCTCTGAAAACCACGGAAATACTCAAGAAAACAAGTAAATTTTGCCCAAAGAAGAAGATTAAAGATAACTTCAGTCTTCAAACTCAGTTGCCTTTGAACAAAAGAAACTATTTTCACTTGAGTTTTCACTTGAACTTGAGAGATAAACAGAAAATTGTTTGTTTTATGGACTATACAGGAATAAAGAAAAGTTCCTTGAAAGGAGGGATAGTTTCTTACCCTTCAACTCAAAAGAAAGAAACAAAATGAAAGTTTTATCTTAAAAAAGGAATCCAGAAATCAGCTTTTGCATAGAACACAAGGCAAAGTAGATTAAAGAATGCGTTTCCTTCCTTTCCAAAGCCCATTTGACCCCTATCATCCACTTTTTAAGTGTATCCGTGTAAATCAATTCATAAACAAAAAAAGATACAATAGTTCAAGATATGTTTTTGCTTTGTTTCAAAAAACTATTAATAGAACATAAGAAAAAATGCTTGTACTAGAACAGAAAACAAACGAACACTCAAACAGGACCATGCATTCCTTCATTCTTGAAAGTCTGGTTGTTAAGTGTAGCCAAAACGTCTTTTCTTGTAGGTAACTATTCGAATGAACGAAGTTTTCGACTATTGTGAAGTTTTAATTTTAACAGACAAAGCTTTTCAGAAACTGTCTAGTAAAGCTTTCTGGTGGGAAAAGTACTACATTTCCCTAATCGAAGACACTGCGAGTGAATAAATAACTCGGAAATCACAAAGAAAAATATATTAAACGAAGTCAAAACTCGCGGATCTCTGTTTCGCATCAAACTGGGAAAGAAACAACAAATAAACATTGTGTAGTTCAAATTTTATTGCAAAATTAGATATGAAAAAGAAATCAACAACTGCAGTGACTATAATATTACAATAAACAAAAATATGAATTGGAAACATAAATATGAACTAGTAAAACATCACGTACATGTGTTCAGTGTGTTTTTAATATGAAATACTAAAAATCACAGTAAATAGATTCCTATAAACGGAGGAAACCTTATTTTGACTCCACGACGAAAACAGCAACGGCATTATCTACGACTACTTTGCCAACATTACCACTTCAAAATTTGACAAACTTTATGCCGCTTTCGGCACTATCATTATCAAGTCCACGTATTTTACTCGTATCACCGAAAACGACATCATCTTTGTCAAATTCAACAGTTTCTTCTGTTCCTCCAGTATTAAACCGTGTTCGTCAAGTTTCGTTGACTAATAAAGTTGGGACAAGAACAGTAACAAATCTTCATATTTTCAATCAGAAAACTTGAACTAAACAGTTTTTCTTTCTATTTTGTTGCGATGTTTGTATAGTTTCCCTTATTCTGTTTTGTTGTGTGTCCTATTCTGTTTTTCCTGTAACGCCTAATGCGATAATATTGTTACTATTAAAGGGCAACAATAGAAATATGAACTTTAGTGCAGTTGCGACTGAAATACCCTTAACTTGGTTCAGCATAATTAAGAGTTTATTAAGAATAAATAGAAAACTTTTACTATTAAAACACTAATTTTCGACCTATTTATACGGTCATTATTAAGTGAATATGTCGTACAGAGCGTTACAGTGAAGTAAAAACAAGACTAAACAGTATATATTTAGAAGCATATATATAGAGAGAGGGATCCTTTTCATTTTTATTTCTTTCATTCTCTATTTCGTTGTTCATCACCTTTCACATTATCTGTTTGTGAATTTTTCTCGAATTTTTTTTTAATTCAGCGATATAGAGAATGAGAGAAATAAAAATAAAAATGAAAAGGGTCTCGCTATATATATGCTTCTAAATATATACTGTTTAGTCTTGTTTTTACTTCACTGTAACGCTCTGTACGACATATTCACTTGATAATGACCGTATAAATAGGTCGAAGATTAGTGTTTTAATAATAAAAGTTTTCTATTTATTCTTAATAAACTCTTAACCTCTTGAATGCCGTAAGACGTCTGTAGATGACATGAAGGAAATTTTATATGTTGCATATGCTTTTTCGTTATATCGTTTTACCGAAAAAAAGGTGCCAAAGGAACACATGTGACGAAAACAACAGAACGGAAAGAGAGATATTTAATCGTTTTTCTACATATGCATGCCTTTGAACGCGGAAGAGGAGAAATAACGGCATTCAAGAGGTTAATTATGTTGAACCAAGTTAAGGGTATTTCAGCCGCAATTGCACTAAAATTCCTATGCGAGAATTTGTGATTCGTTTTTGAATGGAGTATGTGTACATACTAGTAACTTTCTTATGTTTTTTGACTTTATATATGTGCTCCTGCTTTGTCTGCTTTTCTGAACGCTTTTACCTTTTTTCTTCATTTTAACTTTTGTTGAGAGTTGTTAGATGTTGCGGTTTTTCATTTCTGACAGATTTATAATATTTTTCTACCTCATTTCGAACCGGTTTTACTTTAAAAAGATAAATTTTTAGACTGTCATTTGGTGGTGGTTTTCTCTTATCATTTTCCAGTGTTGGTAATAACATTTAGTCAAGAATTTGTCGACTTGTCCGGTGTAGATGAAATCACAAAATTCATGTGCAATATTGTGGTTTCTTTTTTATGCTGTCACTGATGCATCTTTTTCATTTTAGTTTTTCATGTGGTCGAATGGCCGAGACGAAGAAAATGATAGAAGTAGAAAGAAGGTAATAAGAGATTTTGAAAAGAGGAGGAGTAAGATTTGTCGGCTTGTCCTATGGAGGTGAATACATGAAGCCAAACAGCAGTTTTTCCAAGGGGGAAAAAGCATACTTCTGTACTTCTGGTACTTCTCCGTACTTCTTGATACTTCTTCGTACTTCTTCGTACTTTTTTGTACTTCTCCGTACTTCTGAAGTACGAAGTACGAAATACGGGATTTCGTATTTCGTACTTCGTACTTCAGAAGTACGGAGAAGTACAAAAAAGTACGAAGAAGTACGAAGAAGTATCAAGAAGTACGGAGAAGTACCAGAAGTACAGAAGTATGCTTTTTCCCCCTTGAGTTTTTCGCTGTTTTCCCATGTTATAAGTAGTGTAATTTTTTTGTTTTAGTTGTGCACCTGGTCTAATGGTCACAAAAGAGGAAGAAAATGATAAGGCTGTAAAAAGGTAATGACAGAATCCTCCTGTCTATGCCATAGCAATATGTTTCTGTTTCTTTGGCTTTCAGTCAGTTCGACGAGGACGATGAAGAAGACGAAACAACAGCAAAGGAAAACCGAAAGAAGGGTCAGTAACAAACTACATTTCGTGGCTGCCGCTGTTAATCGTTGTTCTTGCTCATTATTCTTGTTCTTAATCAAGCATCGTCACACTCATCAACAACAGCTGCCGAATCAGAACCAAAAGCAAAACGAACTAAAAAGAGCGAGGTGGAGAAGTTGAAAACATGGTGCGTTAAAGTTGAACCAAGATGTAGACGTCGATAATCGTCGTTTTTTGTTTTGTTGTGTTAGAATCTCACTGAATCATATTGTGATTGTTTTGTAACCTTATTCTCTATTTTGTTTATATAAATCATACTGCGTTTAAGCAGAGACAGAAACATAGAAAATTTTCTGAAAAATGCTCCATTTTGGCGACCTGATGATAAATATTTTTCTGCGTTTAGCGATTTCTTAAACACCTTGTACTTCTTTTGTAGAAATGAACCATCAGATAAGCTAAATTGTAATAGTTTTGAGTTGTGTTGTCTTCATGATGTACGTTTTCGCTGTTTTTATGTGCCTGTAGATAACTGTATTTGTATTACCGAATATGCTATTGCATATCAGCATAACTGATGTACAGAAAAATCAGTAAATAAACAGCAGTACGAAAAGAAAAAGATATAAACTTAAGCAGCGGACCGTTTGCAAAGGTAAGGTTAGGAAGTCTAAAAAAAGGGATCAACGTCATTTGCAAACACTTCTAAATGGAAACAAATGGAGAAATTTCGCGAGAGATAGGAACACATAAGCGTATTTATATGAACAATTTCGGGAGACGAGCCCTAGTTTGGGTGGTCCCTAGAACAATCCCGGGAGACGAGTCATCGTTTGGGGGGCCCTAGAACAATTATTAAGGGGATTTTACAACAACTATGGATCTGGCAATGGTTGTTTTTTCCATTTACAAAATAGTATCTAGCGCATAGTTAAGATGAATAATCCAACCTCTAACGAATGGCATGGTAGCTGGAAAGAGTCCAGCAATCAACAATATATTCATACTTTCTTCAAACTGAAGTGATGTATGAAACATTTTCGCTGATGTGAAGTCTAGAGGGTAGACCGAAGGGAGACCTGAGCTGTATTCTTCGTCCAGCTATTGTTTAGTTTACTTAAGTCGAGTTCTTTCAGTCAAGGTATCGAGTAAATCGGAGGTGGCCATTACTTACAGCCTGAAAAAAGAACCTATTAAGAAATGTGCTATTACTTATGAAAGACTTTACTATAAAACACCGCTTGCTTAATTTAAAGTTTAGTGATAAGAAGTAGAGTGGGGAAAAGGTAAATAAATAAATGATAAAACAAAAACTTCAATAAAAAAATGATGAATTTTTTTTTGTGAATAAAGCAAAACATCCATGTTTTGGATTAAAAGTATCCTTATTCTTTTTCACTTCTTATCTATTCTTTTCAGAAGTCGAATGACTGCAATTGTTAAAGAATTAATTATTTATCCGATTAAATCGTGTAGCGGAATTCGAGTTGATGAAGCAATAACAACCGAATATGGTCTTGCTTTACCATCGAATGTTCTACTATCTGATAGGTAATTGCTATGATTAAAAGTTGAATAATTGTATAGCAGTCCTTTTCTTCGTTAGACGTTGGATGATTATAAAAAATGGTAAACATCAAACACAAACACAAATATCTAAAATGGCTACTATACAACCGGAGTTTGTGCCTGATGGTTTATTGTTAAAAGCACCAAACATGCCCAATTTAGCAATATCGGTGAATCCACCGCCAACAGAAATAATTGAGTTCAAGTAGACTATATCAACGAAGATATTTTTCTAACAATGATCTCTATGCTGTTTTTACAGATGTTATGATGTGTCAATTAATGGACGAAAATATGGTGAAAATGTTTCACAATGGTTGTCAACTTATCTTGGAAAACAAAATTTGCATTTAGTTTACTTTGATAATCAATTTCAATGTCGATTAAGTAAAGACATGGAACCAGAAATACCAACAGAAGCTCGTGAAACAGATCTATTGGCCTACCAAGATATAAGTCCATTACTTTTATGTTCTATAGAGTCTGTACAGGATTTGAATAAACGATTAGAAAAGCCAGTGAAAGTTGATAATTTTCGACCAAATATAGTCGTTCAAAATGTGTCAAATCCATATGCAGAAGCAAGTTTGCTGCATTCATCAATTGGTATTTATGTACTACACGCTTCTCTTCTTTCAGGATTATTGGCGAGTGATGACAATCGGAGGAGCAAAAATGACCTGGATTCGACCATGTTTAAGGTATCTATTTTACAGCGAAATAGGAATAGTCGGAATCGTGTGCTCTCGATCTAGACATCCTAAAACGTTGCACGTATATTATTTTAGATGTTTGATGACGACAATTAATCAGAAAACAGGTGAAAGAGATCGGGATTACGAACCATGGAAAACATTGAGAAGGTAATCATGCAACTCCCGAGAAAAAAAGTTAAAGTTAAACGCCTGATGATGCATACGGATACGAAAGCAGTTGTGTCATGTGTGACCTGTGCATTGATTTTCTTCCGTGAAGCACATGTATGATTTATTATTAAGCGTGATCACGCGTGGTCACTTGATGTGTAGACATCAAAAATATGTCCGCCAGTAAATCCGTGTAGCATTTTTGTCACATGTGGACAGACGTAATCTTTATTGTCGAAGGTCGCGCGTGGTTTATTTTGTATCGATGTTCCATTGCGGCATATCGAAATGAAACATTAATATGGTATTATAGTATGTTTTCCTTAGGCGAGTCATTTTCACAAATAAGACACGCGTGGCCATACTCGTGGTTCCAATGGAAATTTGTATGGAACCGTTCCATACAAATTCTTTCATGGACAGTTCGTCATTAAATAATTTCTTCCAAAAGAAAATATTCCTATTTTATTTAGTTATCGTCTCAAACCAGAAATGTATGGGAAAGAACCACAGTTTGGAATCTATGTAGCACCTGACGAGTATGGTCTCATGCGGCTTGGTGATGAAATCAAGATTTCAGTCGAAAATCAAAACTTTTAAAGATTACAAGTAAAATCATGCGCTGTCTAGGAAGATTCAATAGATATGCCTAAATGTTTATAATTAAGCAGATTGATCGGTTGTTTTCAATAATAAGACAAATAAACCTTGAGCAGCAATTCTGATGGCGTATTAACGCTAAATTGTTGTTCAAACAGCACTAATCTACAATATTTATTTCAATTCGGATAGAATAGTATTTTTCCTTATCTTCATCAATGAACTACCAACTGTAGTCCGATCACCAGCAGACTGTATACTTTTTGCTGATGACTGTACATTCTATTGCCCAATGGCCTCGTCTGATATGCCAACCGTATGTCAAGAAAATAATGAGAAAATATGTATTGGGTAATGACAGTGGAAATCTAGTAATCGGGCAATTGCCAGATTTCTTCTACTTGCAACTATCGATTTATCGCCCGATAATCGGTCGATTTAACTATTGCTACCCTAGTAAGAAACCTATACATTTCTTGACAGGATCCTTGAGAAATCCGAGTAGGATCCTGTCAGGATCCTAGGAAAATCTTACAGAATCCAAAAGAAATCAGGTATACCGGAAAGTCATAGGATTTGATAGGATTCTGTTAGGATCCTTGCGATGACTGAAGCATAATGTAGCAGGAATTATTTAGGATTTTAGTAGGAAAATATAATTCTTGAACAGAAATTTCATAGGACCGCTTATCTGTTCCTATCTCTCGCAAAATTTTTCCATTTGTTTCCATTTAGAAGTGTTTACAAATGACGTTAACCCCTTTTTTTAGACTTCCTAACCTTACCTTTGCAAACGGTCCGCTGCTTAAGTTTATATCTTTTTCTTTTCGTACTGCTGTTTATTTACTGATTTTTCTGTACATCAGTTATGCTGATATGCAATAGCATATTCGGTAATACAAATACAGTTATCTATAGGCACATAAAAACAGCGAAAACGTACATCATGAAGACAACACAACTCAAAACTATTACAATTTAGCCTATCTGATGGTTCATTTCTACAAAAGAAGTACAAGGTGTTTAAGAAATCGCTAAACGCAGAAAAATATTTATCATCAGGTCGCCAACCATGAAAAATACGTTTAGAAAATCGGAAACGTTTAGACTTTATCGGAATTGCTGAAAATAAAAAAAGTTGAACGGATTAAAGCGTAGCAGCTGTTACTATTCTTGAAAAATGAACAGCAAGATCTTCAAAAGTTCATAATTTTAATTTAATTAGAAGTGCACAGATATTTCTTTTTTATACACCTGGGATCTGGGAAGTTCTGAGAGTTCGCACTTAGTTTTGTGAGATATAAGTGCTAGTTTCTATCCTTCAACAGCCGCTACGTTGTCTAATTTGACTCATTCCAATAAGCTAGCAACATACAATGCGTTGGCGATCTGATGATTATGCTTACATACAAATTTTGAGATAGTAAAATTTTCACTAAACGATTTTTGTAAGATGGCAAAGCAACTCTTTTAACAAGTAAAAAACATATTAGAAACGCAAATTCAACATGATTGTTCTTGACATAAGAAACTAAATAACTACATGTTGTGGTCATATAAAATCATGTAAAATCAGTAACGTACAGAACTAGCTACAGTTTAATCTTTTCTCCGCGGCGACCAAAAGATTGAACTGCGAGTAGTTCTGAGTGCCAATCTTTCTTTACTCTAGTTTAATCTATATTTATTAGTCAGCTCTTTGCTCTCAAATCTTTGCCCCTTTCCGTAGAGTGACAGAATACGCACAAGTGAAGCAAATGTCAATAGAGATATATCCTGGATATATGTATATCTCTATCTGAATGCTACGGACCTAGTCATTTGCACCATCGTATTCAGGCTAACAGTCACTTCACTATCCTTACAGTAGTGAGGCGCCAAAGTGGCATGCATAGCTGACACGACAACAAATAATATAAAAAGTTTATGAGGATTTAGATCTCTTTAAATTCAGTAATCTGTATCTCATGCTCTTCTTAATTAAGAAAAAAGAGTCTGCCGTTCTACTCCTAAGATGCATAAGTATGCTAGATATGGGTAGGATGTCAAACGTAGCTCAGCACTTTGAGGAAACTTTTCATCCACCACAACAAGTACACTAAATTAATTAAATTTCAAAAACGGGAGACTTCTTTCTTGCATCATATCTTAGATGTCATAGCAACTGCAGCCATAATGGCAATAACAGCGCATGTATCCCGTCGCTTTAGTATTGTTGATTTGAAAACGGTAGTTTAAAGTATTCAGCCATAACTGGTGTTGAGAAGCAGAAGATAAAACGAAGGAAAAGAATGAGTGAATAAATAGGATTGTAGAAATCTGCTAAGATCAAAGAAATTGTTACAGACATATTGCGAAATACTAACAGAAAGAAAGAAAGAAAGAAACAGAAGATAAGTTAAGTGACACAAGTGGCTTTCTCTTCGGGTCATGACAATCAGAGATAATGTGTGATCAAACTTTACCTAGTGAATAAATCCCATAAAATGTTGTTTTATTCTAAAGAACAAAATAAGGAAAGCCAAGATTTTATAGTTTTATTGAAAGTTACTCTATATTCAAAAGAAACAATGCTGGCTATTAATTTGTTCTATATTCTGCTCACTTCTTGACTTAAAATCAAAATAACTAGAGAAGACCCCTTTTCACTTTCTAAATTGAAAAAATTTCTTTAGTTCTGTTACTCCTCTTCGTTACGATTGGCTTGTCCATCAAATAGCGCACGGCCATTCTTCCATGTTTTGCGCATCGACAACTAGTTTGTAAGACGCTTAACGACAGTCAAGGCAATGATTGGTACTACTGTTTTGCCAATGAGCAATACATCTTGTTCGGTACTCGATTCTCTATTGAGTGTGATCACTTTCAGGGACTTAGGTTTTTTGAGAGGGTCTCTGCAGATCCTGGTCTCCAGCGACCCACCTTGGAAACCTTACTGATTTCTGAAAGTGAGTCCATCGGGTTCAGCATCACGTACTACCTCTAAAACCATAGTTTCAGCTCTCTCTCATGAGAACTGACTCGTCTGGAACCCGATGATCTGAAGGATTTGGGCGAAACTGCTGTCCTATTCGATGTAGGTCGAATATCTTTTGAACAAAAACAAATCTCGAAAAAGTGGACGTATAACTTTGTAGAGCTTTAAACGGCGAATCGAACGGTGTAAAACTTTTGGCTCTACGACCTCTCCGGGCGGAGTTGATGCATTTGTAAAAACAGTTGTTGCATTTTCGTCGCTGTAGTTTCGGCCTCCCGCAAAAACCCATTCCTCGTCTTGGAGATCTGAAGGCTACATGACTAGTTTCAGTTTTTGATGCTGAATCCGAATATCGAAACCGTAAATCTCTACGATGTTTCTCGGTGGAATTATGGGCATTTTTCGAAAAACGGGTATTTTTCCGGTTTTTGACCATCGCTCCGTATTTTGTAATTTTCTCAGTGAGGAAAGGGTTTTGGGAGCCGAGATGGTGATATTCGTGATTACGTCCGATTCTCTATCGAATGGTGTATAAATCAATCAAATCTATTTTTTCACTACATCTTACTTTCCATTTTTTCTGCACAGAAAACGAAATTCAAAAATCGCCATGGATAAATTTTAGATAAATGTCTCAGCTTGAAAATGAAAATAAATGAAGGTTTTGTGATGAATCGTCTAGAAGCAGTACACATTTTGCTGTGTTAAAACCATTTTGTAAGCAATGGTGTCATCATTTCATTAATTATAATTCAGCTCTTTTAGCAACACGAGTATATAGAGATGGGCCGTAATGAAGTCGAATAGAACGAATACGTTTAATGTGAAGTATACGAAGCGACAGAAGGATGAATTTTCTCACTTTCGTTCTTTTCATTTCATCATTATGTCTCATTACGAATAGT